TACATTGTTTACTTATAATACTAAATATATGACATTTATATGGCACAAATCCGTGTTACTATCATTGTTCCATGCGCTTTACATAATATTCATGAAGAACATGCATTTCCGCGCAGTTTACAGATTGTCGCTTGCGTGTTTTAATGATCATATAATTGCGCTGCAATCTTAAGATAGTTCACTTCCCATCTTTATTCTTTTACTCACATATAGGAACATACACATACATTTTCAAAAGTGAAAAAATATGAAAATTAAAAATAGATATGAAACGGAAAAGCTCACAAGAATGATACAATTATATAATAAAGAATCGTTAAAACGCGCATGGCAATCTAAAAATTGCCCCACAATCTTAAGATGGCTACGCAATAATACGATCGTTAACAGCGCAATCTTTAGATCGGTAAATTGTGCGGAACACTTACACAGATATATCATAATTATGCATTTCTACATTTGGTAAAAAATAACAGAGTAGATCATTCAAGCAAAATATGGCATACACTCTTTCTCATTGCAACAACTATTACTATCAATGAAAATGTTTGTAGCTTATCCAATAAATGTCTGCATTTTAAAAAATTTAAGAAGGCAGATGTTATACATGATATGTATTTCTAGTATTCATACAGATCGGTAACTTCTATCATCATGGTCTATTCCTCAGGTGTCAACATGCAACGGGTAATTGGTGCCCAAGTAAGGACCCACAACAGAAACTAAAGGTCAACCCAATGGCAAGAGTAAAAAACACAAATTGTCCTTTTTCTTTATCTGTGAAAGTGTCATCTTCAGGACAATGCACAATACAGTTGTCCTCAATTCACAATCATTCTTGCAATTCTTTAGAAGCATCGACCTATAATTGCATCCCTGATTCCGTAGTGAGTGAGATAAATCATTTGTTTTCAAAGGGAGAAACTGCTACTACAGCAAGACATCTTTTCTTAAAACAATTGAAGCTGTCATGTAAAGATGATTTGGATTATCACACTAAAAGAGCCGATCGTCTGTATGCTCCAAGAAGAAGAGATTTTACATACTTGTATGAAAAATTTGTGAAAGAAAAATTTGGGGGTCATTGTAGTAGAATGTTTGACAAGCTTGAAGAAAGTCTGTTATCCTACAAAGAAACACATCCACACTCAAAGGTAAAATACCAAATGTTTGATGGTGAAGGGAAACCATTGATAGTTGCTATTGTCACCCCTCTCATGTTGCGAGTCCACAAAAAAATTCATCAAAGTTCGGAGCTTGTGTTTGTGGATTCCACCTCTAATTGTGAGGAACACAACCTCAAGATCTTTCTGTTCTGCACACACAGTGTTGCAGGAGCCCTTCCTCTGGGTTTGCTCATCACAAGTGATGAGAAAGAGGAAACTTTGAAACAGGGGTTTTCTTTCTTCAAAGACTGTCTTCCAGATGATGCCTTTTTTGGAAGAGGGAAACTGAATGGTCCATGTGTTTTCCTCACTGATAACTGTTCAGAGGAAATAAATGCCTTGAAATCTGTGTGGCCATCCACAGACTATCTTTTGTGCATGTTTCACATTCTACAACAGGTATGGAGATGGCTGACAGAGAATAAAAATGGAATTTCACAGTTTGACAGAGCTGACTTATTTGCTTTATTCAAAAAATCTGCATTGGCCACTGATAAGGACTCATTTGAAACCCTGTATGACAAATTGCTGCAGGATTCTGTTCTTGAGGACAATGACAGGGCCCGAAAGTATTTTCAGGGACTTTACAATTTAAAGGGATCTTTTGCACTGTCCTTCCGATCACATCTACCAGTGCGCGGAAATAATACCAATAATTTTGTTGAAGCCCAGTTCCTTGTACTGAAAGATGTAATACTCCGCAGAACAAAAGAATACAATGCTGTTGCCCTCTTGAACAAATTACTGATAGATTTAGAGGAACATTATAAAGATAGGCTTTTATCCGTCTCAGCAAATGCATTTGAAGGATACACCAAACGTTTCAAGGGGTTCAAAATTCCAACCGAGAATGAGAAGGAAAGGGTTCTCCAGTCATTATCAATACTGCCTAATAATGTGTTCTCACTGGATAGTTGCAGTTCAAATGACCGCAGATATACAGTGGATATGTCTCTCGGACTATGCACCTGTGAAATTGGAAAGGATGGAAGTCCCTGTAAGCATCAGTATGTCATCTGGGCTTCTGGGCTAGCCAACTGTCTAAATTTTGCACCTGTTTCATCCGCACCACTAAGGCAAGAGTTGGCTTACATAGCAATCGGTCAAACACTTCCTCTTTTTTCTTATAACACATTTAGAGAAACTGAAGATGGGCATTCTCTCATTCCTAACGCACAGTCTTCCTTTCATGAAACTAACGATCACCCAGTAGGCCTAAACCTTTCAGATGTAACGGAACACATCACATCTTCTGTAACTACACCAGCTTCAAGTTCAAGTCTCAATGAAAGTATTGAAAGTAAGAATAGCATTGATAAAGCTGAAGAATCTTTGCAGTCCCTCTGTTCTGCTCTCGTAGACAAACTTAAAAGTTCTTGTGATCCCAAACTTACTGAAAGTGTTATGAAATTTTCAAGTAGACTAAGCGATCTTTTGAAATCAACATGTAATGAAAATAAGCTTATAAGTGCATTTTTTAACTTTGGTAAAGATGAAGCTTTCGGAACCAAAAGAGGCAAGAAAATCAGATGTCAGCCAGGCAGGGTAAGAAAGTCAGGAAATGGATCACGCCAAGCAGTCGGAAAGGGAAGACCAGTGTCTTTGCAAGCTCTAAGCATGCCACCAAAATTTCGAAAGAGAAAACATAGCCTGGTCACAAATGTTAAAGACAACGTCGGTATACCCAAAAAGTCTGGCTCACATGTTATGAAATCAAAGGTGAGAAAGGTTGCTTCTTCATCAAATTCGCAATCCAAAATCTCTTCTCAATCAAATTCTTGATTGTGTTTATAAAGACCTGAAATACCATTTTTATTCTGTCAGCCTCCTCCTCCTCTGAACATCCAAGTGTGTCATTTTGTGGTCTGAAATCCATTTTACTACTTGGAGCCTTAAAAAATGACGCAGTAAATAACATATTTATATAAACAAATGCGTGTATTATATTGTTGTGTTGCCCATTTGAAGTGTTTTATTTTCTTAGTTCTAATACTAAGAAGAAGACATTAGGTCTTTACAAAATGTTAAAATCCGAAAATAATATGAAATCGAATTGTTTCATTACAAAATTGTCTAGGGAGGTTTACACCATCACTTCACATTGTAATGTCTATAACAATAATATTTTGAGCATTGAATATATTTTAGAGAAGGCTGTGAATCTGTGAGGTAGCCTTTTTAAAAATAAAATGGCATACATTGGAACAAGTTATAACTGTTAAAATACGTAATAAATACGGTCGATGGTTTACAACTCAAGTATGAAAAGAAATGTAAAGTGGAGGGCCATAAGATGTATTGAGTCCTTTATTGATTAATGAAATCAGTTTGATCAATGTACTAAATACAAAGAAAAAACATAAGAAAATTATAAATACATGGTATACATGATAAATGGTAAAATGAGCAATCTAAGAATTTATTTCTCACTTTGCACTTCTGGGAACACAGTGCCCCATTATGGTTCATTACGAATGCATATTTTTCATGTGCCTTGTTAAATTAGATTTCGCAGTACATTCAACATTACAAATGTTACATTTTAATGTTTGCTTTGTGTGAACAGCAGAATGGCGTTTTAGTAGCCATCTACTCTGAAAATGTTTTCCACATATCTCACACGGGTGAGATCGTTTGTGTTCTTTTGCTTGATGGCGAAGGAGAGCTTGTCTGTCCTTTAGTACCTCTCCACATTCTATGCAAATCAGCCGACAATGCTTCTGGTGATAGACCAGAGATCTGTGGTTCTTGTATTTAGCGCCACAGTGCTTACATTTTTCCTCCTCTGCCACCCCGGTATCCACATCCTCCCTGTGCTTTTGGGCAGCTTCCTTCCAGTCCTGTTGATTTAAAATGGGTTATTAAAATTAATTATTTTCTGATTGTCTCTAAGTGTATTATAATTAGTATTTTGTGTGTGTGTGAGTATTTCCTATACACAAGAATTTCATGTATTAGCATTGCTTCTACTTTGTATTTTTTATTGTGTTTTCGTCATTTGACTTTCGCACAATAAAACAAAAAACAAATTAAAAATTGATTATAATGTCTTGCCGTTCTTTTTTTTTTATATTGTCCAACACTGGGGGCTCTCGTGGCATAGAGGTTAAGGTATTTGCCTCTCATTCAAAGGTCCCGGGTTCGAAAAATTTTCTTCTCTTAAAATTGTCTTCTTTCCAGCTCTCTGGCAATGTTCTATTGTCTGCTTTCGTCTCCACTTTCTGCCCCCACCTCATCACCTCCTTTGCCCCCTCCTCTGGGCTCCATGACTCTTTCTGCAGCCTTTCTACTGTTTTACTGCTACTCCTTGGCTCCTTCTTACTGTGCTGTCTTTCAGCCTCACCACTGATCTTCTTGTACGAAAGATCTACAACTAGCCTTCTCGGACAAGGGCGAAAAATATCGGAGGTCCCGTGTGCAAGTTGCACAAGATAAACTTAAAGATCCCTTGGTGATCTAAAATTGAGAGTAGGCTTCGGCCGCCACCTGGGCAAAATTCAGAATTTCCTACCAACTGAAAATGTTTAGTGTGTCCCGCGTGCTCAAACAAGGCCTAAGGCTCAATAACTTCCTTTGGTCACAGGATCAATCAATTCTAGTGCTTTCATTCTCAATAGTCACAAATTTTTTTTTCCTTTCTTAGAAGCGATTCAATTGTCAAAAACTTTTGGTGCGGGTCAGGATTTCTGGGAACCCCCGAAATCTGGGTTAGCCCGCTTGTCCTTAAAAGCGACCATATGGTGGTAAAGATTAAAAAGTAAATGAAAGTAAATTTTGGAGAAATAGTTACAGATGGTACCTTTCGAGTATCTGCGTCCAATGAGCGCCATATTTTCGATGTAACCTTTGAAACATCTCCCAGATTTGGTAAACTGAGTTGACTCATAACCTTGGGCTGTGAAATAAAATAAGTTATAAAATTATTGTAATGAAAGATGAAAAGTTATGTTTGCACTATTGTTGAGGGCCAAATCTCATTATTATCTTGAATAGTAATATTTCTCACCAATATACAGACACTAGATCCAGATCTAGACCCTAGCACTCTTCATAAGGCTGATACTTATCAACAAAGTTTTAAAATGTCAATATCAAGAGTCCTCCTTTGCCTTGGAAAGTGGACATTTTTCTTATGGGTGTTAGAAGCAATTTTTTCAATTACAATTTTTAAAAAAATGAAAATCAATTGTTTTGAAGTACCTTTCAATCCAAATTGCCAAAACATCAAATCATTGTGAAATTATGCAGGGGGGGCAGGCATGCTGAAACCCCCGAAGTTGTTAAAAACAAGTCAAATATATATATTTACTACGACACTGGTCCTAGATCTAGAATCTAGTTCTGTTTTCAAACATCAATTATAACTCAATAACTAGATATCTATTGATCTGCGTAAAAAAAAAATTAAGGCCATTTTTTCGTGTTCAGCATGCAAAATACTAGATCTAGAGATTTTATTCCAGACAAACAGTATAAAACGTGTATAGATCTAACATAATTACATTCATGAGGTCGGGTGTTTTTTTGTTTTTTTTAAATTACATTTTAATTTTGTCACTTACCGCAACATTGTGGTAAAAAATGGTTGTAACTTGATCGCTTCGTCACAGATCTCTTTGTCTCGTCCTCCATGGTAGAAGTGTTTAGAAGTATAAGTAGACTAGAATCTAGAAGAATATGTACTGGATCGAGACTCTCTCTCTCACATGGGACATCACTTTGCCCAGAGACCGTAGTAAGTACCGGCATTGTTTTGCCTAGCCTATTTTCGGGAGTTCCGGGTAACTGTATCTATAAATAGATTGACGTTTGACCCGTGTCAAAGGTTGGGGTGGCTGAGGATTCTGGGGGTGGCTGCGGGTTGACGAAACGGAAAAGCGCGACGCCGAGGACTACTAACTATCAGACATATTTCTACCAATCCACAAGCCAGGTATGTCAGGTATGCC